ATGCACTCGAGATGAATACCAAGAAGTACTTATTTCATGTAAGAAGCTGTAAGAATGAGGTGCTGAAAAGTGATGCAATCAGCACATGTGCCTTCAAAGGCCTTCGAAGACCCAGAGTTAAACTCCACATCCTAAGATTCTGTTACCCCACTGCCAGCAACTTCTACCACTAAGCTACAGACAAACTTTCTGGTTGGACTCAAAATTAGGCCTTGACTAATATTGACCCCTAACGTCTGGACAGCCCCTCAGGCCTACCTCCACAGATGGGCACTTTTGTCCAGACTCAACTGAGCTTTTTGCCCTTTTTTCCCAAATTTTTTTTTGGATGGGGGTTATGCCCTCTCCACCTATTTTCAGGGGTCCTGATTAATGGAATCACTTCTCATAAAGCACCACGCCCCGATCAGGGCCCCTCGCTAGCACTAGTGTTGTCCGCTACCTTGCCTTGTCTGCCATCTGTTTGTGTTCATCTTTTGCTTTGTCCTCTCTTGATACATATACCTCATGAGCGCAAAGGCAGTTTCTCATTCCAAACTTACTGCCACACTCGCAGGTAGGTTTTCACTTTCCTAGTACCCACATTCCAAACTCACTGCCGTGCTCGCAGCATGCACTATGTACATCTAGTTTTTTGCCCCACCCACCATTCCTCTCCACTTAGGCCTCTCTACACCACACTAGTCTAGTCTTCTGTATCTACATAAGCCCTCCTAGAGTTGGCTTGAGGTCGGCCCCAGGACCTAGTTCCAAGGCTTGCCTTGAGTTCTCAGGGGCCACAAATGTCATACATCTGTCATGCCTGTTGAGCCCGGAGAATTTCACTTCCTTTCTCAATTTAGTCGCTTCTTTCTCGATTTAGATAACACTTCTTCCTTTGTCACTCAGTCACATTGACTATAGTTGTGCTTATGGCCCTAGTGTTTGTAGGTGTTCCTACATGAGACAAATAAACAAGCGTTGCATATCTCGGAAAGGTGTCGGCATGGGTAGATGTGCAAACAGTTAATGCCTGCATGCTCAAGTAATGAGACAAATGGCATGTCTAGGCGCATAATAACATGCCGGGGTTAAAAAATTGAGCAGTCATGCAAATCAAACATGATCAGAAACGTCTTCATACTGGACAATGACATGGAAGAAAATTTAGCAAAAATGGGCTTGATCCGAAAACATCTCTGAGAAAATCGGAGATACTAACCCTGGGTCCAAAAGGCTAGACCACCGGAAGCAAGTCGCCGAGAGGGTGTATGACCGCAAAAATCAAACTGAGTATTTTGTTCCTCATTACGCCACGCTTGAAAAAAGAGCAGTGCTGGGCTTATGTCGTCTCGCAGTAGACCTGCATCAGGCCGTAACCGAGCGATAGGTGTTGGACAAACTTTGTGAGATTCTGATCTGCACAAAGCATTGACTGAGCCTGCATATATTCTATAGCAAGCGAGCACTGGATTATAGTGAGAAGCATTTGCAGGTACAATGGATTAGCCCATTCTGCTATGAGACACAGCAAGAAAGAAGTGGTCGAGGGTATTTGAGCATACAAGAAGTGTGATGCTAGCTGAGAAGGCCTTACATGATTCACGAATACCAATGAGCATAGTCAGAATATATCATTTTCACTCACCAACCTGTAAGTCGGTCGTTCCATTGCTACTATGACACATGCCGAAGTTATCGAGATATGCATCTAATGAGTGATCAAGTGATTAATACTGTAGAGGAAGTTGAACCTACTGATGAGCACATTTGAGAGCAAGGAGTACTATCACTGGCCCTATGTTTGGACAGTACCGATGTTCGGACAGTCTATGTTTCTCGCTCATTGCTCAACATATCAACCTCAATATTTTGACCATAAATCATGTTAAATAGTGTAGACTTGGTTTCTGAAACTTTGAGATTTTTTAAAGGTGATTTACGTTCCTAAATGTTGAAAATGTGCCTTTGCAAGCCCAATGTCATGCCTTGGATGAGTCGGAGCACGTGAGGAAGGATCCTGATGATCCAATTTTTTTTATGTAGTCTAGTGTAGCCCATATATATTGGTTCCGGTATGTGAAGAAAATGCACGGTATGTTGTTGCACTCGTATGAAAATACAAGGTATCAAGCATGACATTCAGACACGGAGCATCGAAGAAGGGGAGTGCAAATTCATTCTCCGCACATAGTTCTACCAGCAACAAGTCGTGTCCGAACATTGTCCCCAATGTCTCCCCTCCTCAACCGTGCCACAGACTATACTGAACCTACAGCCTCCTAAGTCACAAACTTCCCCCCACTTCTATGTTTACCCAAGGTGACACCCTTGTCTCACAACTGTTCTCCACACCAACCCTGCAGGGTGGCAACAAGCATAAACCTCAAATCTAGCACACTGAAGAGCAACCCCAAGTAGCCATCAAAGAACTAGGAAATGACAGCCTTAGCCTTTGCAAGGCTGGGAAGAAACATGATGTCCCTCCTTGAATCCATGATCATGTGTGCACTGTGATCCTCGTCCGAACACAGGTGCAAGTGTCGGAGTCTAAAATTAGAGGCGGCCGCTTCGGCTGTGCGATGCGGATTCGTGACCCGGTGTGACCAGACTGTCCGAACAACGGTCTCTTTTTTTTTTTTTTTTTTAAATCAACGTATTTGTATCCCGCGCGGCGTAAGGCCAGTGGCGGCAGTTAATAAAGGGGGAAGGTATAAGCAACGTGTGTCGGAGCGTGTAAAGGGTTCAATTAAGACCCGGAATGTCAGCCTCGCAGGCGCGGGCAGTGAAGATGGAAGGGGGGAAAGTGGACATATTGGTGTCTAGGGCAGGAGGTCCTCCGCATTGCGAGGGGCATCTTCGAAGGTGAATGCAGACGGGTTGTCGCGTAGGAATTGTATGAGCCCTCTAAGAGGGTTCCTGCTTGTAAGGTACTTAGCTACTGTGAAATCGGGGGGACGCTGATAGTGCGTGCACCAGAAGAGGATGTGGGTCCGGGTTTGTGTTTCTCGGCACCAGTTGCATGTAGTCGTCTCATAGGGGAAGAATTTTGTACGATATTCGCCTGTGGGGCCGTGATTTAGGATAAGACGTGCAGCGCGTGCTGCTAGTGAGTTGGAACCACCGACCATTAGGAGGAGTTGGCTTTTGGTGGACGAGACTTTGCGGAAAGCTCGTTGTCTAGGAAAATCTCGACCACTGTACTTTGTCGAAGTCATAAGTAATTGCCAAGAAGCAAGTAAGGACGTGTAGGCTTTCTGTTTAAGGAAGGATGCGGATGTGAATGCGGGATGATTGCCTTTAAGAGCAGATTTGGCTAAGGCGTCAGCTTCCTCCTGATGCGGGATGCCACTGTGGCCTGGACACCATGCAATTGTCAGATGTCTCTCGGGTGATGCAGAGAACCATGTCCTAAGTCGCTGGCACGCTAGAAGCGAGCACATCTGCGACGGGTGTACTGTTGGGTTTAGAAGGGACTTGAGAGCGGCTTCATTGTCCGCATATAGTACGATCTCGGTGGTGTGCGGAGTGATGGTTGCGTGGTGTAGGGCTATAGTGAGGCCCATTATTTCGGCATCGAAGGCTGTTGTGTGTCCGCAAGCTAGTTTGCGGATGATAGGGTGAGCATTGTTTGGGGGAAAGATGAGGCTGGCGCATCCTGCATGCTTGCCGTTGTGAGGGGAATATGAGCCATCGGAGAAGCAGACTGTTGTGTGCGGGGAGTTGAACTCCGCCGCCATCTGTCGCTTGAGATCTTGCACCCAGGTAGGGAACTCTTGGGCAGCTTTGGATGGGTGGGATATTCTGAAGGATATGCGGTCCGCGAACCTGTCAAGGATGCGGTGGCCAGGGCGAGCCTCTGGGTGAAGAGGAGCGAAGGATTCTGTGTTGGTGGGGATCATGCTGTTGATAAGGCTGATGGGGAGGTTGGTGCTTGTGCATGGGCGACGCAGTGGGAAGGGGATGTGCGGAGAGTGCTCATGGTGGAGTTGGGGATATAGAGCGGCGTTAATGGGATGTTGGGATGGGAGGCGAAGTGTGCGTACCGCTGCACGCTGTATTAGTTTTTTGATATGTAGGTGGAGGGGGGGTATGCCGGAGAGCACTTCCATGCCTCCGATGGGGGATGTGCGAAACGCTGAAAGAATCCAACGTACTCCCTCGTGCTGTGCCTTTGACAGGATGTTCATTAGTCCTTTGACGCCATGTTTCCGCCACCAGACGCGGCAACCATATGTGAGTAGTGGGACAACGCAGGACTTGTAGAGTGTGCGTCGCTGTAGGGGTGAGAGGCCTCTGAGTGAGTTGCCAAGGCGGAGAGCGCACTTCACTGTGCTCAGGGCTCGTGTCGCATAGAAGCGTACATGCTCTTTGAAGGATAGCCGGGGGTCAAAGATGAACCCCAAATATCGCCATGTTGTTGAGGGTTCGATAGTGCGTCCAGCAAGGGTTATTGTTGGTAGCTGCGAGGTGTTGCCTCTGCGGGGAAAGTGCATAAGTTCAGTTTTATCATGTTCAATGGTTAGACCAATGCGGGCGAGGGACTCAGCGAGTGCTTGGTATTTATTGGCAAGAACTGCGCAATTGTGGGCTAGTGACACGGACGATGTGACCAGTAGTCCGTCGTCTACGTAAAAGAGAAGGGAGTCCCAGTCATCTCTTTGTCCGACTGGGTCTATTAGATGTAGTATCGCAGCTAAATAGAGGCCAGATAAAGCAGGAGAGAGGGCAGAGCCTTGGCCCACGCCAACGTCAACGGTAAAAGGGTCTGAGACCGCGCCGTTCCATGAGAGGGCCGTTCGGCGGTCTGGGAGGAATGACCTGAAGAAGTTCAGGTATGTGGATGAGAAGCCCTGTTTCTGTAAGAGGGCGATGAGCATGCTGTGGTTGATTGAAGGGAAGAATTGGGCAATGTCGAGAGCTATGCATGAGGTATGCAGGCCTAGGCGCCAACCAGTGCGAATGTGTTGCGTGAGCATGACACCTGCGTCTTCAGTGCAGTGGAAGCGTGTGCCGCCGAACTGGTTTGGGTGGAAGATGTTGTGTTTGGCTCCTTCAAACTGGAGACGGTTAGCGAGCACTTTTTCCATGAGTTTTCCTAAGCATGAAAGCAGTACTATAGGTCTGTATGATTTGAGTAGCGTGTAGTCTGATTTCTTGGGTTTTGGAATGACGATTGTGGTGGAGGTTTTGAATTGCGAGGGCCAGTAGCCCAGGCGGAGGCAAGCATTGTATAGCGCAAGGAGGACAGTGCCTGATTCTGCGGTCGTGATGAGCAGTTGGACTAGGGGCCACGTAATGTGGTCGGGCCCTGGCGTTGAGGATGCGGAGCATGTTGCTATGGCGTCTCGGCATTCTTGTAGAGAGATCGGAGGGCAGTCACGTTCTGGGCGCTCGGGGAGCATCTCTATGAACGTCAAGTCTATCTGTCGATTCATAGCGGAATAGAATTGGTTCTGGAGCCCTGTGAAGAGTTCAGTTGTTGATGTGAGGGGTGCGCCGTTATGAACGAGATTGTGGTATAGCGGAAGAGGGCGTGGGCGGGTCCATGCCATGAGGTCCCATACACGTTTCTTGTCTGCTGTTTCACGGATGATTGTGTCGTAGTGTTGACGCTGCGCGGAGCGGATTGTGCGGCGGTAGGAACGTTTGTCGTCTGGTGATCTTGTAGCACGGTATCGAGCGAGGGTTGCGGAGCATTCCTCAGTCCACCATGTTTTGGCATGGTAGCTGCAAGATGGGGTGGATGCGTGGCGGTCGAAGGCCTGTGCAATACAAGAAAAAATTGAGTCACATAGTGCTTGTGTATCATTGATGGTATCGAGAGGTGGTGGCGGGTAGAGGCCGGAGATCTCCAGTGTGCACTCTGCAAAGAACATTTTCTCAGCGTCAGAGTTTCTCTTGATGCGGGGAGATCTCGGGGTAGGTTCGATGTCAGTTTCGATGGTAAGGAGAAGGGGGTTGTGATCAGACAGTAGGCGTCCTGAAGGGTCTATCGAGAAGGAGGTGGATGGTGATGTAGCGATGCGACCATCTACAAAGATGAGGTCAATGACTGTGGAGGCACGCACTGAGTGCCTTGCGTGGGGAATGTGCGTAGGATGGCCCTCGGTGTTGAGTAAGATGAGGCCTAAATTGTCCGTGAAATCTAGGAGATCTGTGACAGCGCGGTCGCTGTGTCCGCAGTTTGGGTCCCAGATGTTGCTATGGAGGTTGAAGTCCCCCATCATGACGTCGATGGTTGGGAGGGAGGGCAGGTGCGCGCTCAGATAATGTAGAGCCGAGCAGTCTCCGTCGTTGTAAATGTTCAATATATATGTGAGTCGAGGACCTTGTGGAATGGCGACGAGAAGAAGGTCGGGGTGGTTGACTATGTGGGAGCATAGTTTGGGTTGTGTAGGTGCTAAGCGCTTGTTGATGTATGTGACTACTCTAGTGGGCCCCCCGCGTTCGAAGAGGGTCCAGTGGGGGTGTGTTTGAGTGCCCTGGTACTCCTCACCAGCCCCGGACACAGAAGATGGTATGTTTCTTAAGTAGCCCCAATAAGGCTCCTGCAGTAGTATGACGTCGTACTTCTCTGCTTGGGTTTCAAGCAGAGTGTGGGTGACGACTGACGAGCGGTTAACATTCTGGCACAGGATGCGTAGTAACATGAAGTACTACGTTAATACGGGCGAGACGCGCCGGCGCTGGCCTGGCTGCGATGGGCAACATGGGCACGCGCAGGGGTGGGCTGCGGGCCGGGGAAATCAGCGGGTGAGGCGCTGTTGTTTATGACGAAACGTACTCGGCGATTCCTCGAAGGGCCATAGGGTCTGACTGGGCCAATGTGCGTGTCGCGCCGGCTGTCGCTGGGGCTTGGCGGCCTTGTGGTCGGGGCGCGTGGCTGGTGCTGGTTGATCCATTCCCGGCTGTGGCGGTGTTCATAGAATGGGCAAGCGCGGTCGTTGGCCTTGTGGGCAGCTCCACAGTTGACGCAGGTGGGAGGGTGGGGGCACGGCGCGTCGCCTGGCGTGGGGTTGGTCCCATGGCAACAGGCGGCCCATTGGCGGTGGTCTTGTTCCAAATGATTGCCACCACAGTGGTTGCAGCGGTAGGTCTTGGAGTGGCAGATCGGGCTGGCATGGCCCCAGCGCAGGCAATGGGAACACTGAGGAACAGTGTCACGCTTGTGATACTTGACCGGATACACCGCCTCCCCTTGTAGGAGCGCCGGTTCACGGATGACCTGGCGTAGAGTGGACAGCGCCCCGTTGTCGTGGAAATCCACGTACAGGGTGCCAACGTGGGTGTCTTTGTCTGGGACGAGGCGAGGGGGGCGTGGTATACGAACCTCCTGCCATGCTACGGAGGCTTTGAGCTCTTGTGTGTACTCCTCAGCTGTGATAGGGGAGCCGTCTGGGTAAGTAAGGGCGAGGCGGTGGAACATTACGGTGGAGATGATGTGCCTTTTGTCGACAGAGTAGGTCGATGGCGGGATGTTGGGGAACAGGGCGCCGAGGGCAGCGCGTACCGCATTGATCTCCGAGTCTTCCGGGTTCTGGGCAAACTGTATCGTGACGTTGTGTCGGGAGGACCAGTTGGCTGAGGCTGCGCGAAATGCAGCTCTCGCCGCAGGGAGGTAAGAGTTGACGGCCTGGACGACGACGCCCGGGCGCGGAATTGGGTCGGGCTTGATGCCCGTGAAGATGACGTGGACCGCGCGTCTAGCTCCTCTCGGTAGGGTGACGCGATGGGGTCTTGGGGGTCGCGTTGCAGCAATCTGGCGTTGTAGCGCTAGGAGTTCGCCTGGCGAAAGTTCCGGGTGTGCTTGGCCTAGACTGATAATTTCATCCACAAATGCGTTAGTGGTGGACTTGGACTGACGTGACGATGTGCGGGATGTCGTCCAGTTTGTGTAGTTGACAGAGGGGGCCTGCGAGGACCGTGAGACTGCACTTGCGTAGGACATCGCGCCGGGGGTGTCCGGGCGGGTGCTCGTGGCTGAGGTTGGGTGGGTCGCTGGTTGCGTCATGCGTGACGGATTGTTTACCCGGTTCGGCTGAACGGGCGGAACTTGTAAGTCGGGAACTTTGGTGGATCTGCCGGCAATTCCAGCGTTGAGATACCGGATGACGCGAGTTGCTGCGCTGGCGAGTGGGGTGGAGTTGAGGGTGGCAGCGTCAAGTGGGTTGCGCCCAAAGATGGTGTCCCAGTCGACTGTCTCTAGCCAGTCGGCAATAGTGTGCAGTGAAGAGGTGACGATGTTGGCCTGTTGCTCGAAGGAATCAGTGGATGCGAGAGAGATTGGGACGGAGAGGATCCCCAGTTGGGTGTCGTCGTCCATGTCGATGGGCGATAGGGGCGTAGCGGGAGACCCGGGATGGTCCTCGTCTGGACCGAAGAGCTCCATGTCGAGGTCTATGGGTTGTGGGGAGGAAAGATCTGGATGAGCGGAGGAGTCAAATGACGGGGAATCGGTAGGGAGCATCCCCTGGGGGGTTGAGGCCTCCCGCATTGAGTGGGAAGCAGAGGCCCGCACCTGATGGACCAGACGGTCACCAGGGTCTTTAGGCATGGTGTGAGCACGGTCGGAAGGGAAAGATGAGGAAGGGGAAAATTCGAGGACGATGGGTAAGGCGGTGGTGGTGCGGTGTCCGAATTAGGAAGGTAGTGGTACCGGTGCAAGGTTGTGCCGAACAACGGTCTCGTTCACAAATTTCTACTTTTCTTCCCATTTCCACCAGAATAAAGTATACAGGCTTCGAAAAGGTCTAGCAGGCATTGTTTGTGCAAATTTTGGGGGTACAAGGCGAAGTCTACAGAGGGCAGGATTTTTTTTCGTCCAGTTTGTCCGAACATAGGGCCAGTGATAGTATATTCTCGAGCATACGTTTCAGCATGGGAACCAGATTCCTGATCGAGCAGCGTGTTGCAGGAGACGTGTCACCGACACTGCCATGATGCCATCGCGCTCAACGTTGTGCATAATATCATTACCTCCACGTCCACGTCCATTTCTATCTTCCTTTCCTCCGGGCCATATCCACTATACAAGATAGAAGGGAGAAAGCACAAATACAATGCACAGTCTCTACGCGCGTATCAACAACATCACGGCGACGCTGTCGACATGTATGATGATTCTCCTAGCAGGCATCGCGTGTTCATCATCCTTGTTCACAGCGGACTCGAAGGGCACGCTCAACATCTCCTCTGTCCAAGTGTGCGTTGTCTGTCCTCGTTTATAATCCTTCTCCTATGCAGTCGAGCTTGTGCATCTGGGTGTCACTCCAGTATGTTTGACCGCACGCCGTCCGAGGTACAGATGTGCAATGGAGGCCGTGAGTCCATGTGAGCCCACGACAACGGATCGTGACCTTCACTCTCCAGCTGCCCGCGTTTAGTTCATCCGATAATGGCGCGTATCCATCATCGCGCCCACAGTCGTCTTCGTCTGTTAGTGGTCCCGTCTACGCGCTTCGGAAGTTGATCCACACGGTCTTGCGCCCCGCTCGTAGAAATTGTAGCTCTGCGAGCTGTCATTTATGCATGCGTGCATCACTGGATCGAATGCTGCCACGACTGCGCGCTTCTCTTCCTGCTTCACCAGGCGACAGGTGCTTTAAACCACATCATTTTATCTTCGTCTCCTGTTTCTTTATCACTATCTCGCATGTTTTGATATGTCCTATGTTCTGAAGTTACATCATCGCCTGCTCACCTCCGCCGTCGTACAGGTTTCCCGGCCAAACGCGTCGCATACCTGGACGTACGCAAGACTTCGCTTTCGTCAACTTCAACCTCACTGCTGGTCAGTCTGATAGTCTCATTTCCCTCTCCATCATAGCACACAAGTCACCTACTCTACTTCCGCGTTTGTCGCGATCGCCACCCTGTATGCTTGCTAATCTATCCCTTTTCCGCTTTTGCGACGCCGTTCGTTCACTTGACCCATAATCTGGCGATCCCTCACGCTATGCAATCGGCTCCGCTATCCCATTCATTTGTCCTCGTGTACACCCGTCCATAAATTGGCAACCGCTCCCCATCTCCTCTGATCTTGGATCCTTATCGTGCGCCACGCGTACTGCACGCCAAACGCAAAGTCGAACACAAAATCGGATCGGATTCGAACACATAACAGACTTGACACCACTCTTCAACTGGAACACGAAGCAGCTATTCCTGTATGTTGGCGCCGAATACACTAATGCGAAAGGGGTGAGCCTTTGTCATTTTTTTA